AAGGCATGTATCAATTAGAGTGGAAGAGTTAACATAATGTTGAAAATGAGAATGAGAATGAGGGTGTGGGTGAAGGTGAGGGTGAGCGTGAGCTTCTCGATGAAGATAATATAAATGCTGTGTAAAAGAATTTAAAATTAGAATAAAATCGCTTATTCCGTTATTAAAAATCGAATAAATCAGCCTCGTTCCAATCTAATTGTATTTTGATTTTGTCAGCTGGTTTTTTTCTCTGATTTGCAGATTTATTTTTCTAATCCATTTGATTTGTTACTGCTATTTGATCAATTTTATCGATCTTTAGTAACGAAATAATCGGTTTCAATCTGAGTTTTAAACTTTTCCTCACATCAGATACCCAGAGACACACCCTGCCACTTCAATTTACTCATGTCTTAATTAACTTGGTGATCAAAACACTAATTGTTTGGTGATCATTTCACAGTCAAAAAATTTGGTGATGAAAACACTCATTTTTTTGTGATCATTTCACAGATAAAAAATTTGGTGATCAAAACTCAACTTTTTGGTGATCAAAACACATTTTTTCCTTTCAATAATGGTATGAATGTGTTAATTAAAAGTTGATTGATTAAGTTGTACTAACCTTTGCGATGTGTTGTCTTATATTTTTTTTTTTTTGTTGGACACATTGAATAATAGATTCAATATATATATGGTAACAATTAAAATAAATATTGCAGTAATAAACACAAGAAAAATATCGACAGTAAAAATGTGCAAGACGATGATAAAAGAGCGGAGTAAGAAGAAAAATTGTCAATCTCTTCTACTAGTATCATATTCTTGCTATTTCATTATCATACGTTAAACATCATAAAAATATTTAAGAAGAAGAAAAGAGACTTTTAAAAAGAAAATATATATCTGAAATTTTACATTGCTACCAGATATCTCATGAAGGCAACTTCGTTTGTCGAAGCGCCGGAATAACTTTAATTTTACTCTTTTATATTATTTTTATTTGTATTGAATTTAATAAATATATCAAAAACTAAGACAAATTAATTCATAAAAAATTTAACTAAAATAATAAAAATTTTTGTGTCAAACTAGTGTATTTTCATCTATTAAGACATCTATGCTGACATTTGTGTATTCGAAGATATTTGCCATAACTTTCTTGCACCAAAACATATATTTCTTCATGCATTACTTTATTTCTGATGACTCAACCTTACATCGCTTCTGCTGATTTTTTAACAAGATGAGTTTTTGTTTCTTCGATGACTCACACTTTTCTGTCAATAGAACGTTTCTACTGTGATATCTGTGATCATACAAATCAAGACTTGAAAAAACAAAAAACCGTACATTGATAATTAACATGCTCGTAAATTATCAAAGCTTCGTAGTTGTCATTTATTCAAGACAACAACCGACGTCTGTGCCACTCAAAACATGTCAGTATCGAAACGATAATGAAATCGTTCGCAACTGATATGACAATCAAGCAAAATTTTTTCCAACGATGAAACTGCTTGTCAATCGAAGAACAGGTTGCTGTGTACGCATTTGTTGCTTGTATTGACAATCAAGAAGTTATTGCTGAATTGAAGGAGAAGCGAGAAGTACAACACAAGTACAATGAAGCTTGACGTCAAGGTCACGGTGCTTATCTGCTTGACTAAAATGAAAAATCTCAAGATAACTTGATCATCAATGTTGGTGCATGACTAACAGGTAAAAAGTATCATATTACAATTTGCTATGTTTTCGAACTGGATTTTTGATACAAAATGGTGGCAAGATTCATTTCATTGTGCTGACTACTAATTATTAGTTCTCGTTAAAATATGATCAAAAGTAGGACCCATTCACCAGCAGCAACAACTTCAGATTGTGTTCAAATACATTCATATACGATCAATTTTTGCTGTCGAGTAGACAAACTGGACGTTGCATGCTTATGTCATCGAATTTGCGCAGCAAAATACTCTTTTGATTGAAGTATTCTTGTCAACATTGATTTGCTTGGAATCCGATCGAATACGACTGTGGCTATAGAATCCAGTGTTATTGTGACTTTATTTACGCCGGCAGACGAAAAATGTTGATGTACAATGAATAATAGTGGCTAATTAACGAATTTATATTTATTGTCGATTGTAGTGGATTGATGGAAGCTAAAGATAAACTCGAACCGATTCATCAAGAAATATTACTTTTTGTCAAGAATCTGCCCGTCGATTGTCATATTAATATTATTCTTTTCAGATCAAAGTAAGTATTACTTTTTCAAGATATTACGGCAGTATATGATGAAGAAAATCTTCGTAGAATCAAAGCATTTATCGGTCACATGCAAGCTGATTTGGATAGTACAGAGCTGGTAATTTCATTTGTTTGCTTCTTTTTTTCAGCAATATGATTGTCTTATTCTTGTTTTATCTATCTCCGCTACAATGATTAAAAAGTTATTCGATAAGACAAAGTCATGTGCAACAAATTTTTCTTTTGATCAATGAAAAAATTGCTAATGTTGATGAAGTAGTTATAAATCTATGCTGTTCGATGGGTGTTTCTGCATGATTATTTTTCTGTCGGTTTGGTTCGTGCACGTAGTTGTTCGCTTACCAAAGTCTAGCTCGAACAACGATCGGTTCATTTGCTTTGATTTCACCTGATGATAATGTCAATATTTATGTCGGCGAACAATTACAACGGACTTTCCAATTATGTATTATTGATGTTCAAGTGAAATAGAATTTGAAAATGTCTGTAAATAGTACTTCCATAAGAGTACCTCGAGTCTATACAAATGATCGTCTAATTCGTTGTGCTCTTTTCGAATGTCTAATGGTATACGGATTGACGTTGATTATGTGAAGCGAAAATCGATCGGGTGTTCAATATGTTCGATAATGATTCTATTTCTCGTCTACCCACGATAGCTTTGATTCTCGAATTACAACATAATTGTGAAAAAAAAATCAAGAGCGTGAAAGAGAGAGAGAGAGTAAAAATTTACTTGCTTTTCTATCATCATAGATCCATCTTATGATATCACTACTAATAAAAACTTGTACATATGTAAAAAAAGAAGATCTGTAGAGTATTCATAGGAAAGGCAAAGCCGACAGATTAAAGAGAAAGTCATGGTATGTAACACTATGTTTATGAGATAGAGGTAATTATGTGAAATATACAAAAGATGATGCTATTATTGAATAAAAAGAAAGATAACTAGACTAGCACGCGAGCAATGCTCGATTACAAAAGTCGGCTGATTCCGCGAACTGTACTTATCGACGTTTTGCTTTTAAATTGCTTAACTGTCAAGGCCAGATTTGCTCGGGTGCTCAAGATTTCAATGGTAGCTTCAACTTGAATCATGCCATGCTATACAGGGAAAATATCAGCTGTTAATTATCTTTTTCGGCTTTTTTTATATCTCCCGAATGTCGCCCAATTTCGAAAAACGGATTTCAGATGTGCACTCGTCACATTCTGATGCTCTTGTCAAGCTTTTTTTCGACTTGAAATTATGCTTGGATGCTGAGAACGAGTGACTGACTCGAATCGTGACTCATGTGCTGAGAAGAAGAAGACTAGAATTCCACCCGATCGAAGGCTGGATAGAAAAGTTGGCTAACTACACGAGCTCGAAAAACATCACAACACTACTCTGTGTGACATTTACTAATTCAAAATCTAGGAGTCGTATAGAGTAAATCATAATGAAATTCACGTGCTTTCAGATATCTTGACGCAGCTCACAAGTAAGAGAATAATGAATCTGAATGAGCTGTTGCCATATAAGGAAACATTCAGCTGTTCACTATGGTCTAGTCATTGTTTGAGTCAAGAACTATTTATTGATGATGAATTGGATTCATTCAGCAATAATCAGATTTACGAAAAAGGGAATTTTAGAAGTTTGGTAAATTTTTTGTTTTTTTACTTTACACTCTTTACATCATAGTGAGAGTGAACTCTTTTTAAATTGTGATATTATATGTATTTTATAAATACGCTTTTATGTGAATTTAGAATATAAACAAGATATTCATTTTCGTTTGGACTATGTTATTACAAAATACATAACCTGACATGTGTTCATTGTATTTTTTTTTGTTTGGTTTAATTGATTATTAGAACGATATTTTTTTTCTCATAGCATTTATTATACCAAAGTTTAATCGATACTTATGTATTGGTCATGTGTTCATTGAGACTAAACTTTTTTATTACTGCTGTTTCTTGAATTAAGACAAAACTTGAAAACAGATTTAACAGTGTGCTTCTATAGTTCAAAATTTGATGATAGAAAAAAGAAAACTAATGGCAAAATATGATTTTCAATTGTCATAAACCCAGATACTTGCCAATATAAGAGAAGCCTGTTAGAAGTTGCACATATTATTTCCTTTTTCATTCATCCTTTGATTGTGATGTCAATGAAGATTCAATTAGTAAAAGAATTTTTATTTTATTTTGCACAAATGTTACATATTATATTACTTCTTTTTTATTCTGAGCAACAAAATGACGTATTTATTTATGTATATCGTTGTTAATTTGTTTTGTCTAATATTATAAAGATTTTTGTATGTATCTTATATAAGACAGCCATGAACAGGTTTTTATGATTAAAAAAATCTCCATCATGATGAAATTCATCTGACGACAACAGTATAATTAATTGAAATGCATGCGCATTAGTTATCCATGACAGTATAAGGAAAATGTTAGCTGTTAATTATTGTTTTTTTGCATACTTTAATATTTCTCGAATGATTTGAAATTTCGAAAAACAAATTTCAGAAATAAAATCGTCATATTGATTCAGCAAATATATATGTTTTGAGTTCATAAAAACATTTATTGCAATTAAATGAATAATCTTTATCCCATAAACACAAAAGTACTTTAAGAAAAACAATTTTGATTCTTTTTTGCTGATAATTCAAGGAAAAAAAAACAAAGATGAGATATCACACATAAAAACCATATGCATTATACAAGAATATTTGAAATTAATATTTTAAGAGTTTATTACAATTTTTATTACGATTTTTTGTTGATGATGATTTACTGGTTTCACGTTTCTTTGTACAACAATACTTTTTACTACAATAACCAAGACAACAAAGAAAACCAACACTAACTGTTGCATAACCACCATATCTATAAAATTATATTTTCATTTCGTCATTTAAAATCTTTCTGTAATCAAAAACAAATTGTTTACTTAAGTAATTTTCTTTGTGTTTCAGGTAACCTATCATACCATTGCATAATAGTAAACTTTTGATCTTGACTTTTTCCATCGTGAAATTCATATTTTTCTTTTCTGGTTATTGGCAATGGTGAATCCTAGTTTTGAGTAAAATAACAAAGACAAATACGAAAAAAAAAATGAATTACTATATCTAGATGCTCCATTATCAATGATTTTCCAGTTGATTCACTTTCAGTAAATATTCTAATGAGAAATTGACCTTCTCTATCTTGTTCATATGTTGACGGAATCAAAATATAATTTCCAGGTTTTACACGAAATCGTCCTGTAACTTCACGCTTATTAATATATGGTCCTATAAAAAAAGAAGATTTTTTAAATTATTTTCTTTTTCTTTTACTAATTACCTGTATCACTATGTCGTTCAAGATCTTGTGGATAAAATTTATGATCTTGTGTAATTTGTGATACATCAATTGAATCGTTTATCTATCAAAAAATATTTGTTTATATTTCAATAAATTCAATATTAAAATCTCACTCTATATAGGCGTAAATTAATATATTCTTCAGCTTGTTGTCTACCTGTTTGTTGTCGTTTTTGTCGGGTATATTTTTGTAGACAAGAACATATTACTGTACATAAACCATCACCACGTTCAATATCAGTTTTTGTTACATTAATTAAATATTGAGGATTAGTAAAAAAATTTTCTATATACAAATCAAAACCTTTTTTTTAAAAACAACTTTAAAAAGAAAAAAGAAAATTTGTTAACCAATTCTTGGTTGTCCACATCCACCAGCTGTTTGCCCTTTTATCCAAGCACCATCAAATTGTATTTGATGCCAAGTAATATGTTTTCCCTTTCAAATCAAAAAATAATATAAATAACATCAATATGTAATATTTCTATGTGTATACTTGTTGAGCAGTAAGTTGTTCTTCGAATGAATCAGGTGAAAGATTACAAATTTGTACTTGTTCAAAATGTTTCAACCAATCTGAATAGAGCATCCTAGTTTATAATTGATACAAATATATTCTAATTGTGATCATTCAACTTTCTTTCTTTTTACCAAAATTCACCATCAGCTTGTCTTTTATAATGTAATTGTTCTCTGGTATATAGATCTACTGTATTCCAATGGATTTTATCTCTAACATTCATAAGAAATTAGTGCTAAAAGGTAATCAAATTATTTTACTCATCATTCCAAGCACCCTTCCATTCGACTTCATTACCCCATGGATTCCGACAACGAATTATTTGAACAATTTCACCGCTAGTAAGTTTAATACGAACAGCAGCTGTTACAGCATAAGCATGACCTTTCACTAGACCATTAGCCATTTTAGCTTCATGTTCGCTTGGATCTGGCTGGAAAATTCGTGTTAATAAAATAGAACAAGAACTTAATTATCACAAAAGAAATAATTGAAATCAAATACATACTGAAATAAAACAACCAATCATTGCATCATGTTTCAATGCTGTTCCTATTGTTTGCCAAAATTGATCTTTATCCTTGATATCCTTTGTATTGAATGATTCTTCTATTCCTCCTAGTAATAACAATGATTCTTATTTAATAGTTTTAGTAAAAGAAGAAGAAAGAAAAAAGTCACCAGTCATATCGATTAGAGCATCAGTAGTTTGTCCAGCATCAGTACCTTCATAAGAATAACTCAGTCTACAATACAAAAGTATTTAATTCTATCATTTTAATAAATATTATTTTTTTTTCGTATCAAATAATAGCGCAGTAAAATTTAAAATAATCTAATCAACAATTTACATTAGCTTAGAATGTAATTACAATGAAAAGTTTAATATATCAAATTACCGCAAAAACTATTGAAAATTTAACTGCTATAATATTTATCCCAAGTTTATTACATATTTGATTTTTTTTTTCTTTTAACTTTTACTATTCGCATGGATGATGTGATTGCACAATACCAATAAATGTTACTTTAATAGTGGTGTAATGCATAGGTGGCTCTAATGGTTGGCAAATCATAGCTGTTCACTTCCTTCGTAATATATTGCTACATATGTCAATCTTTCACATTGAACAACCAGGTTCGACCCCTGGCGAAATATGAGTGAACGCGCAATCCAACTATTCATTTTATTTTTTCTTGAATCATCTTACTTGGCGTAAGCTTTTTCAAGTAGAGCAGCCCAAAATTCATTTGGTTCTCTAATATTTTGACAAAAAACTAAACGATTATTTATTGTTGGTAAATAATCATCAACGACAACATCAATCCATCTTCCAAATTGCCAAAATCGAAAATGAAATATTCCTATGTAAAAATATTGATAAATCTAGATTTTTAATGTTTACAAAAAGAAAATAAATACCAGCATAATATTGTTTGTCATAAGTCTGATTAAGTGGACATACACGTTCAAAAATAGCGCCATTTTGTGTTATCATACTAACAGCAGAAATGAACCAACAATTACCTAAATTTTTTTTTTTTGACAAATACAAGAATAGTTTGAAAACAGAAAAATAAACTTACCTAACTGACCTTGATCAAGATCCAATCGATTTACTTCTTTAACAATAAATTGAGGATTTGAACACATTTCCTAATAATGAAATAATTGATATGAAGTTTGGGAATAAATGCATACACGTACATAAGGTCGTTTCCATATTACACTATCAAGTGTAGGATTGAAACCAGGTGTATAATATAAGGAAGATTTATTATTTGGAAATTCTGGATCATGAAAAAGATTATTAACATTATGTTGTCGAACTAAATCTGAATAAATTTGATTTCTGTATGAATGTAATATCGTCTGAAGAATAGAATAAATGAAAAGGAAGTCATGAAATAATTCTCATTATTGAATAATACTCACTTCAACCATAGCAATGAATGAAAATTATAAAATTGATTTAATCAATTTCAACAGAGAGAAAGCAATACCAATATACTAAAAAGTAATAACCACTCTCTTTTTTTCGGCGCCTTTCTGTCTTTTTTCTTTATGAATGCACTAGTATGATGCTATGATTAATGTCGTTTATTGTATCTTTTACTGTAATAGGGGTTGTTCTTTTCAGTCAAGTAGATTATATCAAAGAGTATTATTAAGAAAAGAGATAGGAAAAAAAAGTTTCGTATGTCAGCGATAATAGGTTTGTTTTTCTGAAGCAAGAAACAAGTATACAGATATACAAAAGGTTAGGATGAAAACAAAAGATTTAGACTGATACTAGTATTATTCATTTGAGAATTTTTTCTTATATACGATTTTAATCTGCGATACGTTCAACATTTGGTCTAGTATAAATAACAAAAATATGATTCGTAATAATTATTTTAATGTATTTATTTATTTTTAAATTAATATCAACTTTTCTTAAATCTAAATAATAGAAAACAAAAAAGAACATTTTAATTCGCAAAATTATTTATATATATTTTTGTTTATTTTATTTCGTTATAGACTGGAAAATCCTGCAAGACAAGAAATTTTATTTTGATTGTAGGCAGTAGATAATAATGAAAAGATGAAAGAGGAACTTTCTCATCTTAATTTTATTCTGTGATACGTGACAAAAATTTAACAATTTTACGAAAATCTTCTTGTTTTTTTCTCTCTGGGTAGAAACATAACGACTTTAATTTGAAAGTTCTATTATTTACAGCTAATGACTAGTTGACTTTCATGGTGTAACTTAATTGTACAATGTTTTGTATTCATAGGAAATGCTGTGATCTCTAGAAGTCAACATCTATTACGTTTGGTTGTCTAATACTTGCTACTATTTACCAGTATATTTGATATGGTTGTCGACCAAAACATGTTTATGATTTTTATCATTGCTGATTTACTTTGCCATGCAAGCTTTTTTGAAAAAAAATTATTATTATTTTTTTCTTCTGTTTATGTCATAATTATCTATTCTAGCTACTTATGTCATCATTTAATATAGTCTCTTTGTTGTTGTGTCAACCTGACCTACTTATTGCTGTTATTTTATACAGTTTGAAAAGTGACAAGAAAAGGTCACAATTTCTTAAAACTACTATGTATTGTACACTTAGATTATTTTTTATAAGAGAACCACTTCAGTTGTCTTCTTCTGATTTCAATGATTCTTTTTTGTCCATAGATACTGCATATTTTTCTAACAAAAACTGTAAAACGATTTTGTTTCGTATTGATATTTCACTAAGGAGGGATCCATGCAAAATTAAATTTATTCCATTTTACTTGTAGTCCCTTTAGCACCCTCACCTCAACGGCATTTGTACTCATATCCACACCTATATTCTAAAAGCCCTAAAGGGATTAAAGTGTAGTGAATATGGAAATCTTACCAGTTTCTACAGCATGAAAGTAAAATGGGATAAATTTCTTTTTCGTGGACCTATGGACTAAAGGAGCTAAAAGGATTAATGGGATTAAAAGGACTAAAAGGACTAAAAGGACTAAAGAGTGCTAAAGAGACTAATGGGATTAAAAGGGCTAATAGAATAGCTTGAAGGGACTAAAAGTAAAACGGGATAAATTTATTTTTTTGTGGACCTATGAATATTCATGAAAAAAGATTTATATCCTGAAAGTCCATATTCCGAAGAGACTTTGTTCAAAACTTGTGAATTTTTTAATGGAAGCTAGTCTAGTTGAATTTTCTATATACACAAAGTTTCAGAGAAAAATTCAAAAATACAAGTTTTTTCGAAAACCTATGATCCAGAAAGAAGACATTAAAAATTCGAAAGCATAGTCAAATATCAATAGAAAACCAAATTCTTTTTGGATTTTTATTTGAACACTAGGTGGTATCAATGAGCAGCATATCATTGAAATCAGAGAAGAGCAATTGAAGAGATTCTCTCGTTAGTCTGTTGGATATTTTAATTTGTCATTACAAAGATTTCATAAACGTAGATGAGACAAATCACAGATCTTCTTGAAATTTCTCAACACATTTAGACTTGAAGAATAAATCAAATTAGCAGATACGAATTTCTCTTTATTGCAGTGAATTAAAAATAAAATTATCAACGACTATCGAGGTGAATTATCACAATAGCACAAAGTTTACATAGACATTTTATTTAATAGTTTATTACTATTTATCTTTATTGTTTTATGGCAAAATCATGACTATAATATGGATCGATGTTATCGTGCCTTTGTTGTAGTATTTCCTGTTTGACAAGTTTAACGGCAATATATGAGAAGATGACAGTGAGTAGTACAGATAACCCACCGCAAGAAAGGAGAATAATAGCTACGACAGTACTGGGCTTGTTCCATTGAGCAACTGATGGTTTTCTGGTATCATACCAACATGAATATGATGAATCAATCTAAAAAACAAAAGAGGTTTTAATGTTATAAAAATATACATCATTTATTCTTGTAACACTAATGAAATAAATGTAGATAGCAAAGCTTGAGTTATTTTTTGAACAACTACAGATCTTTTCAAAATAAGAAATACAACGTTCGACTTCATTTTATACCTAATCTTTATCAACAAATATTATCGTTAATGCTAGTAAAAAAAATTATACGGGATTGTTATATACTGAGTTTTATTAATTTACAATAAGGTCATATTACTTGTTTCTGTATATCTGATCTTGTTTTTATAGTCAAAGTTTTGTAAAAAGACTTTAATAAATGTATGTTCATCATTTTTAGTCCATTTATTTTGTCGTACTGTGGATAGGCCAGTTAATACTATTGGGTCACATATATTAAATAAAATGTAAAATCGAAAAAAAAACATTTATTATTTCTTCATTTAGAAAGCATTAACTTCATAACATGTATTAGCAAGTTTAAATTGAACGTATTCTGAAAGATTTTCTGCTATGAAAAGTTTCGGATAGAGTGTTGACTGTAAGGATAACTTTGCTGACTAAAACTAATACATGTGGGTTTCTATGAGGGAGCCATTACAAATGATTCGTTTCTATTTCAATGTTTTTTTCTTCTTATATCTAGATGTTACGCATAAGATTTTTAGTAAAAATCCTACAAAAGTTTTAATTGTGATTGAGATTTTATGGAGCTATCTAAATTTGAGAATTTATCTGTTTTCCATAGACTCCTGTAGAACCCTATTGTTCAGAAAATTCTTTTTTTTCGAATTTTTGTTCCGAAACTGCTTCGACTTAAAAGTTTCGTATACAATACCGTGAATGAAGAGTTTTACAATTTTTAAGATGCAATATTTTCAAGTTATGAGCTTTATAAAAAATAGACGTGTTTCCATCTTATATTCTACAATAAGAAAATGTTTTGAAAAGTTCGTATTTCAGGGATACTTCATCTAGAAATTGTAAAACACTTCATACCAGCAATTATATCCTAGAGCTTTAATTTGAAAAAAAGGGTCAGAGCAATATCTGAAAGTACGATTTTTTCGAACACAGAAATCTTATAGAGATCTCTAGAAAATATAGATATTAAAAAGTCGATAACTTTGACAAATCTCAAAAAGAACCTAAATAAGTTTAAAGCTTTTTATGAGAATACTCTGTAGTATCTGTAGACAATAACTTATTGAAGTAGTAAGAAGACATCTGAAGAGGATGTTTGCTTGTTATGTATTTTTTTTAAAGATATCTCGTTTCGAATATTTCTTTACTTTATATTCTTGTGCTCTTTTGAATGCATCCGAATAAGATCTGAATCGTTTTTCTTCTTCTATTTTTGCGAATATGGTTCTATTTTCTCCATAATGCACATCCCATATTGCACCATAACAAGTGTATCGACTGTAACGTGTTCTACATTCATACTCTTTCCATGAACTTGAATTAACTTGACACATGCTGTTGGCATAGTTCAACACTTTCGGATGTTCTTTTGAAAAAAAGATACCGCCCATTATAAAAAAGATAATTATAGCACAGAGACCAACCGTAGCAAGCATGATACAGAGAATTGCTTTGGGATCTTTTATTTTTTGTTTTGCCATCAAGAATAATCAACCAAGCTACCCAAAGAAAAAAAAAACAATGTTCTGTTTGTCAACTTATTCTTTTTTAAATATCGAATGAAATAGCTGCGTCAAATAATATTTATGCGCTATCAGTTGACGTGGTTGTTGACGTCGAATATGATATGACAGACATGAATAAAACACACTTGTAAGAAGGCGTACAACATGCCTCATTTTTTATTATTAACTAAAAACAACAAGATAATGTCAATAACACTTTTTTTCACAATATTTAACAAGCTTTCAAAATAAATTCTATTGAACAAAGTGAATATAGATGGATTTGAGTTGTATGGATGAACTCGTCTGTCTGGCAACTATTTCGTGGTAATCAGAACCCATAAAACTTGACAAAATAGAGCTTTACAAAAACAATGCAAAATCTCTCTCTATTATTTCTTCATTACAATAAAATATTTTCTCTTCAAATTTTTCAAAGTTCAATTCTACTATTGTTATATTCGAAATTTTTAAAATTCAGTTTAAAAGACATGCAAATATATTTGGAATTTTCGAATGTTTTTTCTGAAGGAATGTTACATTCAGATTTCAAGCTTAAAACTAACGAAACGCAGTGCATTTTGACATTGGTATAAATGAAGCAATTGGTTTTACAAATTTGTTGATAGAAATAGTCAATTTCGACCAAATTATTCTTCACTTGGAATTTATCGTAGGAAAAAATTGTCTTCCATCAGGTATTGTCGCTCGTAGATTTTTATTGGATTAATGACGTCATAAGGATGGTTTCTCCTTAATTCAATAATATTCAATAGTACAGCAAATTGACAAACTTGTGTTCTATACGATTTTCCAGATCGAATGTCCGCCGAAATCTTCATTTTACAATATTTGAAGATTTTTTATTGTTTTTTTTCCATTGTCTGCCATGAGTCTCACACTTTCAAACATGTGAATCACCTATGATGTTATGTATTAAGATAAAACATTATGTGACCATGAAGCAAGATACCGATTACTTTAAGTATTAATAAATATTTGCAGTTTGTTTCTTTCGTAAAGTATTATATTATAAATCAAATGCATTCTTTTATTGGATATCTTGGTATCTGCACTTACAATATAAGTGAAACATAATTAGAGAATAAATAATCAATATAAAAGACAATTTGACTTCGATATCATTGATCTACGTCTCATATAGAAGACATGCAAACGTTTCACATTATAGAACTTAAAGGATTTCTACGGTGATTCAAGTCGTCAAGAGATGATGAAAGTTAACAATAATTAAAAACAGCAATGTCCCTTGAAAACTCGACAATTTTTGTTCCTTACACATAATTTTGTCAACTGGATGTGGATATAGGTGTGGAATTTGGGTATGAATAAAAAGAAGAACTATGCCCACGTCTTCTAGTAGCCCTCGATAATCAAATCTGAATTTTGGTTGTTTCATCAAAATATACGTCATCCTCGATGCCTTTGAGACATCAAAGTGTGCATATCTTGCTTCAGATAAAATTATTTCTCTGCAAATTTTCAGTGCCTCTAGTGCAGATTGTAGCATAACTGTTGTGCAGGCTTAGTCTTGCAGTAAAGCTTTATTCATGACATTTGACGATTCTATTGAAACAAATATTTATACGGAAGCTAAAAAATTTAACAATATGCTTAAACGATAGAAGATTTTGCGTGCTATAACTCCACAGGTGTTATAAGATTCTTGTCTTGAAATAAGTAGACTTTAAAAGAAAATACATGAAATATCAAGTCTCTATTAAGATTGTGTAGTATTTTCGTAACAGCTCTTCAGTTTTATGACCTACTGAGTTGAAAATTTTCCGATAAGTGTATTTCAGTGAGCTGTACTTGCGTTTCAAATTTCGTTGCACTTGGAGATTTCATAAAAATGAATAGTGCCCTTTTTTCTGATGGAATTGGGTGATTTCGTGGCAGAAGTACTTTTACCATCAGGTGAACGTCAGTCTCTTTCATAAAAATATTTTCTAAACTTTTTCACTGATAATAGAAAGACCATGATATTAATTATTGAATAATATGTTAGTGTGTTGGTGCCGATGAAAACTAACCGTTTGAAAGTTCTTCTTCAGATAGTTCACAGATAATGCAGGTCAGCAATAATGTCAGCACGAAAAGTGTTCGAGGTAGAGCAAAGTTATAATAGGTGGTATTTATGGTCATTCTCGAGCACTTTTGACGATAATATTATTGCTGACTTACATTATTTGTGGACTAGCTTCGAAAGAATTTTTAGACATTCAGCTCTCCCAGAGACTGAGACTCGAGGGAGATACTTTTGTCCAGTAGTGTAAGCACTTTCGAATGTATAACAGTACAAAAACTACGATGAACAGAGAAAAAACATGAGATTGGGAAATGAAAATTTTCTTCTGTATAATTATTTCTTCTTCTATGCAAAACAAAGCAAACAGAATAGCAATAATGATGTATGACATAGAATTGTTTTAGATATTAAATCAAGTGCAATATTCGCATCAACTAAATATTCGTTTTTCGTAACTAGTTTACCAATACAAATTATATTTTTGTCCTGGACACTAGCTTTTCCGTTACCATTAGCTTATCAAATCTCATTCCAGATGTTCAATAATTACTGTTGGTGGACATCTGTGGAAAATAGGAGCAATCTGAGACGTCGCATGAGACACTCATGGTGAAAAGGATGATTTTTGTGAAACTTTATTATTGCGTTCATTTATTTTAATTAGTTGAAATCTTTCTTCATTAGTTTCGCACTCCTTCTTTCTTCATGTTCGGTTTTATTGTGTGCAATGAATATCATTTGATGGATTCGATTTGTTTTGATAGAACATTAGGACATTGAAAAGATCAGCCGTTTTAACAGCTCATGTTTTCTCCAATCAAATCGAGACAAACGTCTATAAAGAGAGTTGTGCAAAAAAATTGTTTCTGCTTATTTTTCTACTGATTTTTCTTCGTTTTTGATAAAAAGAAACGATGTCACTCTGAGTGTAAGAGACAAGACTGGTCGAAACATTATCTCTTCAACTTGATATCTTTCTTATGAAAGGAACAAGTATTTCATGTGGTAAAAAGTGTCGACATCCAAATATCGCTATGATTTGCTGTGTCACTTGTTTTTAAACTACCTGTAATATCAGTACATTTTTTTGTCAACTGCAACTAAATACTCGGATTCTGTTGTTATAGTTCAGTGTTTGCATAGAAAAATTTTCAAAAATTAACTAGTTGATGTGTTCTTTCGTAAGCATAGCCATCAGATCTTGTCATACCTACTTTTACTGCATCAATAATATTTGTCTTACGAAAAACAAACTTTATACTTGATGATTTCATAGATACAAAAAATAAAACTCGATTCTGTGTAACAAGTTCTTTCTAACATCTGAATAGTAAATCTTTCGATCGTCGAATCATTGCAAGTAAATACAATCTTAATAAATGCAATATTGATGGTAAATTTTTGACAATTCAAGAGAGGAAATGATTAGGCTTATTCGGGCGACTGTACACTAACAATTGATAAACCTGTATAAAATTTATAATTATACATTGTAGAATTATAAGAAAATATTAAGTCAAGGGCTTTCTCAATCTGATATTGATAATAATATGAGCAACTGCATTTATAAACAAATGAAAGAAGAAGAAGAAGAAGAAGAAGAAGAAGAAGAAGCACAATAGACAATAAACTATCTATTTAAATTCACGTTTATCTTCGCTCTTTGATTGTCATGCTTTTTTGGATACGATTCTGAACGGTTCATTTGTTCTAATATGTCGAATATCATTACGTCACAGTACTCGATTAGACCCCATTCATTTGACCTATAAAAAATGAAAATAGCTATCCTTAGTAAAGTTAGCGAGTAATAAAACGCAAATATAGATACTTGATTATTGACCTCAGGAAAGAACAAAAGAAACAAAAATATGATTACACATTCTTGTCTACACGATCAACCCGTTCTTTTTGAATGTAGTCGTAAATAGCTACGAGTTCTTAAAGAACGTAAGAACAGATAGGTATGGTCATGAGAGCAACTATTCGAAAGCTACTTACAACAGCAAAATGATTGCGTAATAAGCCTAAGAGAACTAGAGAGATGGAGAATCTGAATATGGTATTTGCATATAAAATCACAGAAATTGTATGTTACATAATATCAGAAAAAAAAAACAATAAAAAGGCATCATTACCAATTTTTCAATCAGATATTTAGTAAGTTTTATCCAGTATTCTTAGCTAAAATCTTCTTTTTAATTACGACACTCATATTTTTGCTGACAACATCCATGAAAAGTTGCAGATGGTTTCTCAAACGATTCTCATATGGAAGGAACTTGTCTGTAGTCATACTTTTTAGATATTTAGTTCGGAATAATTGTTAGCTCATCTTTGTTCGCTATTATTTCCGTAAGATTGTTTTGGTCTTCTCCTGAAACTTCTTCTATGTGGCTCTTGAAGGTGAATATCATTCTATATAAGCTTTTCTTTTCTCTCTCTGACCAACTTGATCTATTCCATTTGTCAAGTAAGGAAGCAAAATAACGAATCCTATGGTTAGATAGTCATGCTACAGTGCTTCTCAAAAGGTCTTTCAGCACATACTTGTCGCAGTAAAATATAAAATATGAAGAACCCAGTTTAACTGTGAACAAAAGTTCTCGCTATAATTATGATCATCTGTTATTGGATCATAACAAAAAAGCACACCGACATGTCGGTCGTGCTCTTGACATCAAGCTAGTGTAAGGATAAAATTTCTAAAAGAAAATTACATGCAATACAAAGAGATAATAATTTTAAACTTATCCTACAAAAAAGCGGTTTAATCTTTCCTGAATAAAACTGGAATAATAGGCATATCGAACGCGAAGGTAATCATTGGATATCACTCATAACTGTGCTAGTTTCACATAGAACTTTTCATCTGGAGTCAAATTTCAAATGAACATAGAGATCAATTTAGAAAGATTAAATATTCTTGTCAAGAACATGAATCTAATAAGATATCTAACTGGAATGATTGAAATTTCTCACATTGTAATTTCAGTTCTAAATTATATCTCACTACTGTGAACACCTCGTTATATTGAAGCTTCGACCAAGTCTACCAGCTCAAGTCAGTTAGAACAATCTTTATTCTGCGAACACTATTTCTGTTCTGTTCAGTTTCAAGTATTGAATAATGCTTTTATCCTAGACTTTGTTTTTTAGTAAGAAGTCTGAAGTAACTGTCGCATATTAATAATCTCTCAAAAAGTGTTGCGTTCATATGATCTGTAGGTGACTTATTTTTAGAAAAACTAGACACCGTTGGTAACTTGTGTCTCGTTTCTTTTTCAAATGAATCGATTAACAATCAATCTATTTGCCTTTTTTTATTTCAATTCATTGAGATATTATTATTTGAATGAAAAATGATTTTGTCTTAATGATGGATCAATCTGAATCGGTTGAACAAGAACTTCGTCGTCGTGCACCAAACTCTTTCAATGATAAAAATCTCTTTTCATCCGATTCTTATAGTGAACGCAGACTTTCAGTTCTAGTATTCTATCGCTGAAATTCATTCACAATCACATATATCTTAATTTTGACTTTATTCTCATTGTTTTTGATCACTTATTTGCTGAAACCATGTTTTTACGTATTAATCTTGTATGCTGGTGCTACAGGTACTCGTCTTTATACTTACAAATTTCAATCGACAAGTAATAAGAACAAAACGGACGCATTTATTCTATTAAATAAAATATTCGAAGAACGAAAACCAGGTTTATCATCATTTATTAATAATATTTCATCTAGTTGCTGCTAAACAAATAGATGATTTATTGAAGATAGTTAATCGACAAATAAGTCGATTTAAACGTAGTACTACACTATTGGTACTACGAGCGACAGCTGGATTAAGATTATTAAATGAAACAAATCAACAACAAATTTTCCAAGCTGTCAATCAAACATTTATAAAATATGGATTTTATCAAGCAACAATGGATATTGCGATTATGAATGAAGCAGAAGAAGGAACTAACTCATGACTTACTCTGGTCTATCTGACAGATATTTATCAAGTTACTCGTGGACTGTACTCAGCTAGAAAAATTAATCTTTGGTCGCATAAAGTTTTAACCAAATGAAAACCGGTTTGGAAATAACATTGAGTGATCAAATGTTGAAGAAAGTTAGATTTTCCTCCATGTAAAGATTTTTTGTAAGAAAAAAAGCTTTGTTTCCTTCGAAAACCGATAAGCAGAATTGGTCGAATTACAAAATGCAAAATCTCGCAATTATCGTAATTCTTTATGATATATTTTCATTTCCACCTAGTCATGTGCTGATGAGAAGAAATTTTCTGAACGTTTTTCAGTACAAGTATGAATCAACAAGACGAAATTCCAGTCGTTCGAATTTTTAGTGTTACGTAATGATGGTTCAAGTAATTTCGAAGAGATTTTTCCAAAAATCAAATAATCAAACTTTGACAGAAAGATATAGAATATGATCAAAAAAAAGGACACTGAAATTATTATTTCAAATGAACGATTACTTCTTCAAATATCAGTTTAGTTACTTTCAAACTCTTTGAAGACTTATTATAAAAGTTTGCTTTGCATGGCTAATAGGTAACAAGTGGCAGGTCAGAATATAGGTATATGCTTTTTGATCGACATTATGAAATCAATGTCAATAGAATAATTCTTAAAACTAAGTACATCCAAATAAAATAAGAGAGCGAAAAGAACTTCTGTTGAAGTATGCACGATTACATCCATGCTCTTGGTGCTACAGAAGAAGAGTTGATTTAAGAAAATGTACATTTAGAAGCTTATATATGGGTGAAAACTTATTACGATGGGAGCATTAACAACTCAATAAGTTTTTCTCAAAGAACTTGTAAACAATGAGCCATTCTTAGAAACCTTCAATATCATTGTGCTATGGATGAATTAGTAAAATTTATTCAACAGCACTTTGAAAAAATATTTATGCGTTTGAATTAAAGACAAAACTTTTCTTCAACAGTGATCTTTTTCATAGAGTTTAATTTTTCGAGACTAATCCTAGTCGTCTACATCTGTATTTGTAGAGGTTACAGGAAATATATATAATCTCTACTCAATGAGGACTATATAAACGATAATTGTATAGGTCTAAAACACAGACTTTTTTTTATGCTCCCTTGAATATTGTTAATCAAAGTTTTTCGTAAGTAATACATATTCATTGTATGAAACTTTGGTTTTGATTTTAGGTGAACAGTTTTATTCAAGTTCTATAGATTGAACGTAATCAACTTTATGCATCTTGTTGTTCATCAAATAAAAACAAAGAATCGATTAGCTGAAATTAAAACTTATCAAATAAGATTCGAAGAAATTGAAAAAGTAGAGCTAATTCAACAAAAAGAAACAATGATAGACAAAGGAAGAGAAAATGAAGAATTCCAAAAAAAAATGAAACATACGCATCAATTTACAATGTTTGGTCGAAATTTAAAACTATATTCGAAATCCTATCTAGGTTATGGTTTAACGATCGCATGGATATTGATTTTTTATCAATGAGACAACGGACGGAAATCAAATAGCAACACATCAGTTGACAAGCAAATTTATTCCACATGGTTTAGTTGGTAAATTCATATTTCAAGGAATAAAATGGAACGTACAATCTTTTGAAGGTAAAATATTCGAATAGGATTCTTTCTCCTATTTCTACGATATTGTATCTAATGCTAATTTTCTATCTAATCGTGATGATCGATCGAAAATAAATACCATTCGAATTCGAACATTAAATAATGAAGCAAGAAATGTATGCGATCAACTAAACTCAACAGTTCAGAATCTATTTCTTTGTTTTGATCTTACGTACATTTATTCATTGCTCACGAACGGCTATACTCTTGATGAAGAACAATATATTCATGTTTGTAAGAAAATACAATTGTATGAAGTTGCTTGGACATTGGGATTGGCTTTGACATTATTAAAGGCTATGGAAGAGAACTACAACTGCGTTATATTTTAAATAATTTTCAAAACTAGAGAATAAAGCTTTTTTAAAACAATTTTCGAAATTGACCGATGTATTTGTAATCCACTGATGACAATGTAATGAAAAATTTTTAAACATAATTGTGATGATTTTCGATAAAAGAAGTTGAACCACAATTGGAATAACGCTTTGTTCAGCTATCTCATATCATCACTTACGTCTTTTACACTACTTGAAAATGTGTGAATGAGAGTTCATCCCATAGATGAACCCATCTATTTTGGGAATAAAATAAAGATGTGTAAGAACTTTCGGCGTAAAGTAACTATGCAAATTTTTTAATTTTAACGGAGAAATCTTTGAGTTAAATGTATTGCAAAATTTTTGGAGCTTTTAATATTCATTTTTCTCAACTCTTAATTGAATGAGGACGAATTTAAAACATCGACAACAGTTACTTTAAGCAGAGGACTATTGCGCATCTTTTTTTTTGTTCCCACACGTTTTATCCAGATTATTTTCACAAGCCAGAGCGTTCAGTAAGACTTCTTTCCAAAATACGTTTCCATTTCTATTGGAATTTCATGGGAAAATGAAATTCGTAAATCCTATATCTCAGGAAAAAAACTTGACAAATCGAAAAATCTTGGAACTATCTTCTTAAATACGAGAATAACGAAAGAAATCAAAATGACAGAAATCTTGTGTAACGCATTTTTTTTAGAAACTGAAATATTTGAATTTTTGTATCTTAACAACGGAATGATGATTAACGTGTAATGATTTAATATTATGCAATTAGATTTCCTCGATGTTGTTCTCATACTAAAGTGAAGAACGTTAAATGCTTTCATGTGAAAACTCCGCATCTTATCATTTTCATTAAATCATACTAATGATAAACAGTTCCTTATAACAACCGCTAGCATTATTAACAAGTTAATATGAAATTAATAATCATTCAAGTTTACATATTTTAATTAAAATCATGAATAAATATTCAATTTTTTTATAAAAATAAACAAAAAATCACGAGGATATAAACTTTACAATGTAAACAATCAAATAAAGGATGATCCAAAAGTTACTGTACCGAACAAAAAAAAAGTTGATATTATCATTTTAATTCATGAATCTAAATAGACTGCTTTGTTGCTGATAAAGAAATAAACATAGTTCATATTCATAAGACAAACATTAATAAGTCTTTTTCGAAATGTCATTGATGATTTGAACAAAGAATTCTAACTGTTGACGGAATATAAAAACAAATTATTGACTTCTTTGATAGCAACTACAGAATACATTGCATTTTTTTTTCGACTATTTCTTCACACGTGTATCTTATTATTCCATATATTTCCGACCTTTTAACCGTAAAAAAAACAGATATTAAGTGACAAACTATGACATCGTTTTTCATAAGTAGCTTAAGGTTACTGTTCTTTACTATAGAGTCTTACAAGTGGCTAGAATGATTAGCACTCCGCTTAACCATGTACTTGAGTAAGAGTACAAACTACCTGGGTTCGCTTATGCTCTCTTAGCCGGCGATACTTGGCAACTAGGTCTAACTTGACAGTCAATGATGGACCTATTTATTAGCTGTACACATATAGAAGTGAAAAACAGTTCGATCATATCTTAACAGATTGACATATTTAAGAATAACTAGTATAGTTAAAAGAACAGATTGCTTTTGAAATTCATGATGATAAATTGTATGTCAAAGTGTAATCTAGTACACGAGAAATAATCTAAGTCATTCAAAGGATGAAAATATGTTTTCATAGTAAAAACAACCATGATATATATTAATCATGTGTATCCTCAATATTAATTTTAATTTTAGAATCATCAGCAACAAGTGTCAAAATATATTCTTTAATATTAGATAACCTCTTACATTTTTTAAAATTATTTATCCATGTAACTAAATTGTATATTGTTGAATATGGCATAAAAGTTGGAAAACACTCTATTACTAGCAAAAACTTGTCACTTACCAGACGCCATCGGGTACATCTAATCGGATCAAGGGTATGAAAAGTTATACTCGTACAGAACATAAATTTATTAAAGTCAATAACAATAGTTCATTGCAGTCTTTAGGTTTTTAATATTTTTATTATGAATATGAACTATGAATATTGCTTTATCGATGGTAAAACCTCAAATCTTATTGAGTCAAACTATAGTGAAATTATTGATCGTTTTTGTTTCTTGTAAAGTGACTATTAAGACACCCTATATAAATATATATATATATAAAGCATTGAAAAAGTCTACACATCGATCTTGAGTCAAAAATAAATATGACTAGAATTATGCAAAAAAAAATAAAATAAAATAAAAATTTTCTCTATTATCACAGATAATAACTATTCAGTAGAATTTGTGGTTAATGTTGTTGTTTGATGTGTAGACGAAATATCATTTTTAGTAGAAGATGATTCAAATGTAGGTCTTGGATCATTTGGATCGTTCATTTTCACACGTGATATGGCATTCATCATCCATTCAAGTGATGTTTTCATCTTTAATATTAGACAAAAAATTTTTGAAAAATATTTCGGAACTGATATTTAAAAACAAAATATCTACCTCATCTAAACGATGTTCCATTCTTGAATTATTCTACATAATAAAAAAGAAAATGAATTAAAACTAATTTGAAAATAGAAATAATATTCTATACTTGTTCTAATCCTTTTTTAGTTTCTGTAAGAGCTGATTTAAATGTTGACATTAATTCATTTTTTAAATTTTCTATTGTTTTTTGTTGATCTAAAATTGTTTTTTCAACTACCGAACTATAAAAATAACAATTAAATAATTAAAATTCTCAAAATCAATAAAACACAAATGAAATAATAAACATACTCAGTTGTAGTCATGTTTTTATTCAATTGTTTTTGATTGGTAGTTAATGTATTTTTATTTTTATTTTGTTCTAATATTGAACGAGCATAACTATGCGTTGCAGCATTTTCAAATAAATCCCATTGTTCATTTTGTGAATCACGTTTTGGAATCATTTCTATATAAATTTTATAATATATATATATATATTATAATTTTAAAATAACAAAAATTTCAAAAAGAAATTTACTAAAACTACGTGTGAATTTTTTTGACAGTGGTATATAATTTTCATCGACCACTTGATTTCGACCTAATTTCAGGCAACATAAGTGTCGAATAGTTAAAAACAGTAATATGATATGTGGAATAACAATTAATGGAGGATAGGATAATGGTAAACGTTCGAAATATTCCCGTACAAATGAATAACGTTGATAACGCCAATAAAATTCTGTATTTTGTTGAACTTTTCCAATTGAATCACTAGATTAATAGATAATATTCTAGATGGAAATATTCATTTACAAACACTGAATATTCACATGAAAAAAAAAAAAATTAGTTTTTAATTCATGATTTTTGCTAAAGAATTTTAGAAAATAGCATTATACATAAGATACAAATCAGAAGAAGAATGATGTTTGATAATGGCTAAGACTATACAGTCGACCAATACTACGTAACACTAGCTGATAGAATTAAAATAAACGAAGTTGACATTTGATCAATCATTTTCTTCTCAGTTACAAAACAGTGACTTCGAATAGAAAATTAGCCTAAATTAAGACTCTACTCGATCCATTACATGAGATTTGATTTAAACTTTTCTATCAGCAATATCACAAAGCTGATTAGTGCAAAAAATGTATCGTTCAGGAAAAATAACTATGGTGTCAAATGAAAGATTTGAAATATTAATTATAAATAACATACTCATAATTAGTCGATAGTTCAATAGAATCACTATTTGAATAGAATCTTTTTTTTTTAAGTATAAAACAAATATTCTGATGGTTGATCTATAGTAGCATAGTCATTGAAGTGTGAAATGACAAATAATACTGAATACGTAAGATACAAGTAGTTTCTCATTGTCATACGTCTACAATTCATACTTACGCAAAAACGGCAATTAATAAATTGAGTAAAAGAATATTAATAAATAACATATGAAAAGCTAACAAAACATGTGTTGCTGTTGCTTCGGCAACATTTCCTGTTGTACTATTATTATAACCACTAATTATATCTATATATTAAAAATAAATAGATTATTTTTAAATAAGTAAAATAAATAATCACCATCAAGTAAATATTTATCCGTCACTTCTCCATAAATGAGCCAATATGGTTCATAAAAAATTTCACCAAAAATACCATGACCTGTAAATGGTACTTGTTTATAAAGAATCAATGATCGAGATACAACTCCATAAGCAGTTATTGCTATAAATATCATGAAGACAAAAGCAAATAAATCCCGAAGCTAAAATTTATATTAATATATCAAAATTTATTCTTTATTATTAATTAATATCTTAACTAACCATATTTTTTAACATAAATAATTTTGGACCTAAAAATTTTAAAGCCATAACAAATTTAAGTGATCGAAGATACCATAATTCAAGATCAAGTGCCCAAATAATTCTAAAATACATCAGATTCATCATTAATTTTTCAAAATTTTTAACGAACCTTGCAGTAGTAAGTAAACCTTCATTATAACTAGCATATCGAAAACCAAGACCCAAATAAAAAAGAAAATAAGGCATAATATAAAATACATTCGTCAACACAGTTAATACAGTAGATCCAGTTGAACCCCATCGTTCAAGCATACGTGTATTATATTCATGATAAAGCTTTATATAGGAAAACAAAAAAGGAAAAAAGAAATTTGTTTTCATAAAAAAAAAAATTATTTTACTCTTCGGCCTTCTTCACAAAACATAGTTGAAACAGTAATAATCACATAAATTTCAGTCCAATGAGGAATAATAAATGTATTGCGACCATCTAGATGATAAAGCATCATATAGCTGAATACAAGTAAAAACCACAAATAACTAATCTAAATTAAACGAAAATATCTTTGTTTGTTATGTAAAATATAAAAATATTGACTTACAAAATGATATGACAGTTTTACCATTGAGCTTTCATGAAAATATTTAAAACGTTTCCAATAATTTGAACACGTTTCGTCTTTTGAATTTTGTTCATCAACATAATAGTTTATACCTTCTTCAGATAGACTATAATTAAAATAATTCATTTATAAAATATTTATATTATTAATATAACTTCGACTTACGCATCGTCCTTTGTACTCTAAAATAAAGTATTTAAAAAAAAAAAAACATTTCTATTTTAAAAACAAATCCATCTTTTTTTACATACGTTCAATGATTCTTCATTTTCTTTTCGATAAGTGATAATACAAGGTGCTATTAAGCCAACAGTAAGAATTGAAGGAATTTGTAACAATTTTGCTGATGTTTTATGATTACTCAAAGCTAATTTATCAAACCATACTTGATTTAATGTTTGATCGAAACATGGCGTTTCAAGTAATTTTACACTTTCACTTGATATAGCAACCTAAGAAAAAGAAAATTCTTTTATTTATCTTTGAATTTAATATTGAATTTTATTAACCTGCATGCATGTAATATTACCAAAAAGTGGTATTTGTCGTAAAAGTAATTCACAAGCACGTTTCTCATTATATTCATAACATTTATTAATGCACATAGCAGCATATGTTTCAAATTCTAATGATTGTATTCGAAATTTATCTTTTATATCCACAATTTCAGATGATGTTGAATATTTTTTAAATATAGCTGAAGCTATAAGAGCAGCACAAATACGAGATCGAACATGAAGAAGTAAGACTTTAGCCATATCAGGCATATCCATAAGAACAGACCACAAGAAAAGATCACGTAACATGTGATGCTTTGTATATTTGTTATTTGCTTGATAATTATTTATATTATTATTATTAACGTTTTGTCCATAATCATCTTCAACATGTCCGTGTGATCCACAACAACTACATACATGATTACTTAAATCAATTTGAATACGATTTTTAAAACGATTATCTTCAAACGAATAAATCGATTCAAAAAAAGAGCCAACACATTTATTTAATTTATTATCAATATCTTTTATTCGTTTAAGAGGTAATTTACCAAGAATTGTTCCTAAACGTTTTTTATGACTCTGAGATAAAAAAAGAAAATGCCTAAATAGAGAAAAAAAAAAGAATCGAAAAAACAAACAAACCCTATTCATGGCTTTATAACTGCCCTCATATACATCTTCAATAAATTTTGGATAACTAGAAATATCATTGTTGTTGACTAAAGTTAATGGATCAAAGCCAGCTATTAGAAAGTATTCAATAAATGTTGAACGATTTTTTCGAAGAGATTTTTTAAACAGGTTTTTTTGTCGTTGTATATCTTCCTAAAAAAAATCAAACATTATTATTAGTTAATTTATTTGATATATGCATCATTTGAGGAGGATATAATCAGAATAATACTTTGAATAAATACTTAGCTGAATAGTAGACTTTTTTTTCTATAACAGTAAAATAATTATATGTAAGATATTATTTGCAAGAAGGTGACATAATTCCTACAGAAGATTAAAAATTTGAATTATTCGAATTTTATATTATCATTTCTACAGAATGATTTTATATTGGAGATTTCAACTAGAAAAAAAAACCCCGAAGACTATCAAATCATGAAAGCACAAACAAGACTTTTGTATTCAGTGGAAAATGAAAAGCGATCAATCACACAATTATAACATTGTACATCTGTTTTCGTGATTCGAATAATGCTAGGTTTTCTGGCAGGTAATCGATCATATGCTATTCGTTTAGAATATAAAGGGTGTTTCATAATAACTGACAACAATTTTTTTTTGATATTTTTTATACTTTTTGTTGACCTAGAAAGCTAAAATTTTTATCACATATATATTGAATCATCATCTTCCATTTGTGAAAGTTTCAGCTTTCTAGATAAAGTTAGTGGCGAAATGCATCGACAAGATTGAAATACATA